CTTCTGCACAGACCTCCCCTGCCAAAACAAGTCCCACTAAAGATCCCGTGGTCTTTCTTGCATTCCTACTGGTGCCAAACATTAAATAACCCCCACTCTACTTTATTTCAGCTCCTTTCCCATGCTGCTGGGTTGTTGTCAGCATTGCTACGTGCTGTTCCACTACGGCTGTGCTCCAGCCCTGGAGGTGGGGTATCCCGGGGAAGGGATTCATTTCTCTATGCTATGGGGCACCCACAATCGCTTCATGATCTGCTGCAGGGGCTCCAGCCAAGGGGCAATGGGGAGAGCCCAGGGCACTGCTCAGAGCCCTGGGCATGGCCATGTTTGCTTTAGCATGGAGGTTTTCCTTGCACACCTTGGAGGACTTCCATGTCCTCCCTTTCTCTCCCCAGGCTGGGACTGGTGCTTGCTGACAGCTTGCTTTGAGGGTTGGCTTTGCTGCTCAGTAGGCGCAGCAAGAAAGTTGTGCTGTGGGAAGGAGTTTTCTGCTCCAACGGGCCTGTAAGAATTAATTTATTTGCACAAATACTGGAAGAAAGCCATAAACCTGCCCGGAGGGGTGGGAAGAGGTGGCTGCATGGGAAGGTGCCTCACTGGTTGGCATTTCCAGGTGGCCAAAGCCTTTGGGCTCTGCATGGTACCGGTGCTAGGAGGGGTGTGTGAGCTAGCCCATGAAAATGGGTCTCAAACACCAGCAAGCTGTCAGTGGGCCGTACTCCCCATGCAGAGCCCTGGGTGATGTATGGCAGTGCCAAGTGCATGGCAGCCTGGTGGGTCTAAAATACCTAAATGGCTTTAGAGAAAGGTGCTCGGGTGACTGAAACCCCTCCTGCGGGCCACGGGCAACGCGAGGATGTGGGTGACACTACTGCTGGAGGGCAGGTTTCATGGTGCTTGGGATGACTTTCAAGGCACGATGCCATGGCGGATCCATGCCAGTGCTGGGAGCCGGGTCTCAGCGGCTTGTTCCTTCATTTTAGGCTGCTTGTCTGCCCACAGTAATGGGCTCAGGCCAGTTTAGCACTGCTCCTGTTTTACCCCTGAGCCCCAATATACAGCACTGGGACAGGATGATGGTCTGGCATCCTTCGCTTACCAGCAGATCTGTCATGCAGCCACTCCCGAGCTGCGTAGTGCTGGCCCAGAGGAGCCAGAGCGATGCAGAGGGGGCTGTGTACTCACCGATCTCCTCGTATCTCATCACCGTCCCCAGGTTGGCATTCTCATCTGGGGAAGGGAAACAAAAGAGAGCTGCTGGTGCCCGGCCTGGGAGGAAGGCTGGGGGCTGGCGCCAAAGCCGAGGCGATGCTGGAGCTTTCCTCTACCTACCCACAAAGGTGAAGCGCTCCATGGGTGGGCGAACGCAGCAAATCCGGCTCAGGCTTTCTCCCACCTTCCCCAGGATCTTTGCTAAAGGTGAAGAAGAAAAATTCACCAGAGAGACAACGATGTCCTGGCAGACTGACCCCCACAAATGCTTTGGCCACCCTATCCTGCGAGATACTCCTGTGCCCAGGTGTGGGAACTGCTCTCAGCGTCTCCCCACCGCCGCCTCTTGCGGTCTCAACTCCTGAGGGTACTACACTGTGCCTTGAAGAGACCAGCTGGACAGCTAAAATCACTAAAAAAAAATTACAAGTTCATTTTTATGGGATTTAAGTAATTCCCCCTCTTCTGCCCAGCTACTACCTCCGTGTCCCATATCCTGCCGGCTTGTGGGGGATCCAGCCATGTCACCTCTCCTGCCAGCTTGTCCCTTGCGCATACCCCATGGGTACCAGGTAGCCTTTCTCTTAGCTGCTCTCACTGCCTGAACATCATCCAGCTAAAGACCAGTGAGATTTCACAGCCATTTTGAGCTGTTCTTGGCTCCCCTTGCTGTGCTGGATGCTAACTCTTCCATCGCATCCCCATCTGACCCTGGGCTCAGTGCATGGAGCCTGATGAATGACCTGACCCAAAAATAAGATGATGGAGCACCGTTCCTAACACTTGGCAGCCTTGGATGGGAGGTGAGGGGTGGGTGGTCATCCCCTTCTTCCCTACCCTGCTGCCACCTACCTGCGGTGGGCTTGTTGGAGACATTGTTGTTGTTCTGGTAGATGGTCTGTGAGGACTCATTCTGGGGCTGGCCGATCACGGGGGTGATGGAGGGGGTGTTGACATTTGAGAGGATGCAACCAGTCACTCTCTGCAATGAGGGAGAGATGTAGCTGGAACAGTGGCTACACCCCACCTGCCTCCCAAAACCTTTATGACCCCTGTATCGAGCCTCTGCACCCCAGGCTGAAGGTCATCTTCAGTGACAGGTACGTCCAGGCTTGCTTTAGGACCCCGAGTCCCATCCAACCTCACCGGATGGGCCTGGGGCTAGCAGGATGCTGTAGATAACAACTTGAGATTAAAGCTGGGGACAGTGGGATTAACTTTTTGTGTGAACCCATGAGGCTGGCAAGGCTGCAGCCGTGCTGCCTGCGGGCAGGCATCGCCCCTGTTGCCTGGAGGTGTTCATAAATTCTGATGAATAAATAAAAATACAGGAGCTGATGAGTCAGTGGTGCAAAGCCAATGGCTTACATGTTACCCTGGGAGCAAATGGGCCCTTGTCTCCTCCACTGGTCCCTGCAGGAAAAGGAAGGCATGTCCAGGGGCTCCTTGGCTTCGACACCATGGTCCCTGGATGCACTGGACATCCTGCTGGACTGGTGAATGCTACTTCTGTGCCTCCTTTTTGGGCTGCTCATGAGTATGTATGATGTTATTTTATTGGTTTCCTATCCTCCGTTTGCTTGCTATATCCATGTGTTGGCAGCAGCCCTTCCCTCCCTGTCCCTGCAGTCACCCGAGGGCAGTTGCCTTCCTTCTCGGCTCACAGGCCTGCCTGGACTTTGGAGGGACTTTTCCTCCTGGGTTTTGTGCTCCCTGGGGACTTCCCAGCTGCTGAACTTTCCTGCCTTGCTGAGTCGCTCCGGTGAGTTCATACAGCAGTTTCGGCTCAGCTGGTGAGCGGAGACACCTGTCCACCTCCCCTTCCCCTTGGGATGGAGCAAGTGGTTGGCACTAATGATTTAGCTTGTGCCCACCCCATCTTCACTCTGCCATCACCCCTGTTCCCCTCCTGGTGTGTGCAGGACTGGGGCAGCTGCTGGCTCCAGCTGGAGGGCTCAATTTGCTTTCACCATCAGGGAAAGGAGCTCAAAGCAGCTGTGACAAGGTATCTTGTGCCTCTTCCAGGTCAGAATTTCAGGCATGTTACTGCAAGGTTTCTGTCCGTCTGCCCCAGTCATATTTTGGTGTTTGATGTTCATGTGCTGGTGCAAAAGCACCCCTGCTCCCACACTCTCCCCACATCCCCACCCAGGGCTGCCCTACCTTCATCAGGTCACGGTGGTGCTCCAGCACACTGCAGGTGGTCTGCCAGGTGTCCTGGTAGCACTCCCAGGGGTCTACCCTGCAGGGAGCACAGCAAGGCAACAGTGTTAGCTGATGGCTACTGCCTGGACCTCCTGACCATGCTACTTCCTCCCCACTGGGCTGGCCAGCAGCGCTGGGAACAGCCACCATTGCTACCCCAGCTCTGCCATGGACCGTGTCCTTCTTCCAGCCCTTCCACCCAGCTCTCCCTAATAGCTTTGGGGACCTGAACTTGTGCCCAGACAACTTTCCACTCTTGGTACCCAACTAACCAGCTTTTATTTGGCTTGGATGTAACTACACGTGTAACAACCCTGCTTCCTGAGGGCAGCCCAGAGATGTTTCTGGTCCCACCTCAGCTGCCAGACGCCACGTGGCAAGGCTGGGAAGGAGAGAGTCCGCGGGCTGGTGCTGCAAGTGTAGAAAGGGAAGGTGCCACGGTACAAGGCTGGGTTGGGCTGGGGGAACATGGGCTGCACCCAGCCACCACAGGCTCAGCAGGAGGCTTGCAAGACCCCCTGAAGCCAAAGGACATCTTGAAGGATGGTGTAACACCCCTCATCAGTTCTCTGCTGGACTAGGAGAGGAAGGCCTCCAGTTTTTAATTGAGCTTTGGCTGGGAGAGAAGAAAGTCCATCCTGGAGCTCCAGCAGCTGGTGGCATCTCTGCTTTGCACGTGGGTCTTTGCCACCACGGTGCCAGGGAAGGGGCAGGGGCTGCCAGGGGCTGCTAGTGCTGTGGCGGGTGTGGGCTCTGCCTCTCACCTGATCCAGTCAGAGGACTGGACGGCCAGTTGGCACATGGTCAGGCGGTGCCGGCTTGAGACCAGACCCTGCAAAAGAGGAACAGTTACAGGAGGCAAGCATCATGCCCTGGCCAGCCTGGGCTTGCAAACCTTCCCAGGGCAGAGCATCGGGCTCGCTCAGATGAGACAGGCCAGAAAGATTTGTTCCTGGCCACAAAAAGTTATCTAAGCTCCTGTTTGCTGGAGGAGAGGGAGTCCCTGCCTTGCTTCAGCCCTGGTTACAAACAGGTCGAGATTTGCTTGGTGCTGCTACTCTCAGCCCTGTGCTGCTGCAGGGCCAGACCCAGGGATGGTGGTTTCTTGATGAAATTTCTCCAGCTTTCAGGAGAGAAGGAAACTCTTTCCTCTCCTAATTTGGATTTCCCCCCAACCCAGAAAGTGCTTTTAAAGGTCCCTGTTTGCATCGTCACCATCCCTACAATAAAATTAGCTTTGAAATCATTCAAACAAAAAAAAAAAAGCCAACTCAACAAGACGACCACCATCATTTTCGGTGAGAACGTTTTTCTCTGCTGTCTAGTACTTTAGCTGGTTGTAGGGTCGCGCTGCAGTTTTTATGTAAAGAGCGAGTGGTTTCATCCTCTCCCTCCTCTCGGGGACTTTCCCACGGTCAGGGGCTGCCCCAGGTGAAGGAGGTCCATGAGAGGACCATGAATGCAGGCAGCACTGCCCAGTGCTTGCCCCTGGCTTGAGACACCATCGGACATAGGATGCAGAAAGGGAAAATGGGGACGACCCACCGTCTTCCCATAGGAGTCGTGCACGGGCGAGACAATGCCACCGATGACGATGAAGCGTCCAGTCTTGTGCAGGTAATCCCGGGCTCGCTCTGAAGGAGGAGGACAAGGAAAAGGGTGCAGGGGGAATTCAGCTGGACCCACCAACCCTACAACACCCCACTGCCACCCACTGCCTTTGCCCAATGCCTGTGGCTCATCCTGGCTTGAGCAGCGCCAGGTGGGGAAGGTGACCAAGGGAAGGGCTGGGTTCATCTTTACTGCCCGTCTCATTTGGTGCCATCCTTGGTGATGCCAGGCATGAGCCTTTCCAGGGACCTCCAAACCTTGTGGGAAGGAGGATTTGGTGGAAGAGGGCAGGTCTTTAGCAAAAGCTAAATCACATTCAGACCCCAAATCACCTTCAACCACCTCACCGGGGCACCAGAGGGGCAGCCAAGAGCCTGCACCACCACCAAGAGCCACTTTGCAGAGACGGGCTCTTTTGGCAGCCCTGGAGGAGCCACACCGAGTTCATGAGGTGATGCATGAAGCTGATTCATTCACTGCCTGAAGACAAAACCTTTCCTTTCTATTTTTCTCTGCCTGTAAACTATGTCCACCCTTTCTCTCCCCATGACTTCTCCCTTGCTCACCTGCTACAGTTTGCTGCTGACTACAAGCCGAAGGCTTTCCTAGCAGCTGGAAGTGACCGATGGCTCTCCTAACCTCGAGCATCACTTCTGACAAGGACCCCTTAGATGTGGACAAGATTAAAAAAACAAGATAATAACAAAACCCACTGCCTCCGCCACTGCTGGTCTGCAGGGACAACCCCATAGTTTTATGAGCAAAACCCTCTTTGCCGGCTCATGCGTTGGTGGCTGGCCGTAACTCCCTGCAGGAGGATATCAATACAGACTGGGGGATGGGTGGATTGAGAGCAGCCCTGCCGAGAAGGGGATACTGGTGGGTGACAAAGTGGACATGAGCCGGCAATGTGCGCTCGCAGCCCAGAAAGCCAATAGCGTCCTGGGTGCATCACCAGCAGCGTGGCCAGCAGCTCAAGGGAGGGGATTCTGCCCCTCTACTCTGCTCTGATGAGACCCCACCTGGAGTGCTGCGTCCAGCTCTGGGGTCCCCAGTATAAGACAGACATAGACCTGTTAGAGCAGGTCCAGAGGAGACCATGGAAATGGGCAGAGGGCTGGAACACCTCTGCTATGCAGAAAGGTTGAGAGAGTTGGGGTTGTTCAGCCTGGAGAAGAGAAGGCTCCGGGGACACCTTATTGTAGCCCTTCAATATATAAAGTTGGCTTATAAGAAAAATGGAGACTTTATACCAGGGCCTATAGTGACAGGACAAGGGGCAATAGTTTTAAACTAAAAGAGGGTAGATCTAGGGTAAATATAAGGAAGACTTTTTTTATAATGACGTTGGTGGGATGCTGGAACAGGTTGCCCAGAGAAGTTGTGGATGCCCCACCATCGGAAGTGTTGAAGGTCAGGCTGGACGGGGCTTTGAGCAACCTGATGAAAGATGTCCCTGCCCATGGCAGGGGCGTGGGACTAGATGATCTTTGAAGGTCCTTCCCAACCCAAACCATTCTGTGAGTCTGTGATTCTAAGATGTGCTGTTGGTTGACAGCCTAAATAAGAATTGTCATCACACATGGGACTGCATGCATGGGTACTTAGCATGGATGAATCCTTGCCATCCCTACCACAAGACCCACACCTCACATGCTGCTGTTTTGGAAATGCTGAAGGGTTCACCAAGAGGAGCACCACACCAGGACCAAGATGCTCATTCCCATCTGCTCCTCTCTGCTGGAAAGCACGGGGATGCTGCTGGTGAGTTCACCACCACCCTGCTTGCTCCCTGCTTGCTCCAACCTAGCTTGTATCCTGCTTGCTCACGCCCTGCTCGCTCCCTGGTGGTTCCAACTCACAGACAGCAGCTGCTGGGAGCTGCTGCTGGAGGACGAAGCCTTGGCAGAGGAGAGGAAATATTGGTCTGAGAGTACGTCATCGCAATGGGACGCAGGAGATCCCTTCCTGCATGCACTGGGGAATGGGGGGCTCAAATGCCCTGCTTATGGGCTCCTGGGCTCTACCCCATGTGGTCTCGGACAGACAAATAGAGCCGTCCTGTCAGGGAATGGCAGCTCCACTGCAAGAGCAATGGCAGGATTGGTCACGGCATGGTCCTTGCCATGGCTGCTGGCCGATCCCCCAGGTCTCACCTGCTTTTGGGCACTTCTCTCCCCACCATTTTTCCCTTCTCTCCTTGGGCTGGTCCTGATGCAGCCACCCATCCTGCTTCCCTCCCTGCCTGTAGGCAGGGCTGCCCCGGGGTTTGGGCAATGGTGATTATGCTCTCCCCTTCTAGAAACCTCTTTGCTGATGCCTCATAGGATTGCACCCATCTTCATCATGGCTCTGCCGCAGCGATGCTGTTATTTGCTGACGCACCTGGCTCCCTCACCTTCAGCCCTTTCTCCCTCAAATTCTCACTGCTCCCCCTGACACATGCTATTAAATGTCAGCCGCATCGTCCCTGGGGCTTTTCCCAGGTCCCCTTCCTGTGGCACCCACCACCCGCGCCCCACCTGGTCCATCAGCAGCTGCATAGCTCTTACACTGCTCCCTCCCTGTGTCAACACCACATGTTGCCCATGTCCCACAACGCCAAGAGGCTTGCCGGAGTCCCTCCAGCCTGAGGCACAGTCTTGGGCTGGTATTTCCAAAAGTTGACATTTGAGAATAAAAATGCTGGCAAAGAGTTACTAAACTCCCGTGGGCTCCTATGCCACGTCCGACCTCCCACCCCCTGCCCCAAAGCACTTACAATCTTGCCTCGATGCTTCTCTGAAGGTGCTCTCTGGAGCATCTGCTGGAGATGGAAAGTCCCATCTTTTCATGCCACAGCAGCAATACCTCCTGCCCCCCAAGCTTTTGCAGCTGTATAACCCACCCCCTTTACTCGAGCTCTCCCACTGGGTGCATTGCAACCACCTTGTCCCCCAGGCATACCGTGCCTGTGCATGAACCACAGCACCGCTATGGGGTTGCAGCCCCGCAGAAAGCGAGGAGGAAGAGGGTGGGAGGTGCGAGCATGGGGCTGGTCAGTGGTGGTGGTGGTGGCCACAGCTGCACTGGCCCTGCCTCCTCTGCTGAGCGTGGGGAGGGTGGTTGGGGAGTGCACAGTGCAGGAGTGCCCACCCCAGCTATTGAGACAGTAGAAAGAAAAAAGATACAAAAGGTAAAAGCAAAGAGGGAGACAAGATTGATGAGTCATTAGAAAGCACTTTTTTTTTTTTTGGCAAGTGGAGGATCTAGAAAATATTTTGCCTTTGCAAAGAAAACGAGCATTTCTGAAGCTACAGTGACTTTGGGATCCATCAGCTATCCCGAGATGTCACTGTGCATCGTATCCTACAGACACCCTGCTCCAGTGTTTCCCCAGGGGACAGGGAGCAGCCCTGCCTGAGGGGATGGTGCCCTCCCATGTGGCAGCAGTGGGGAGACACTTGCAGGGAGCCTTCCTCCCCGCCGCCACCTGCACCCAGCCCCAGCTGGCACCCACTAAAGCTGATGCAAAGCTCTCCAGCCTGCGTGGGATGGCTTATGCTTCCCTCGGTGGTATAGCTGCATTATTCCTTGGAAATAAGAAGCAAAGCTAGCTCCTGCCATCTGAGGAGATGTTTCCCCATCCCGGCCGCTCATTGTGGCATCAGCTGTCAGGGCAGTGGACCCACCCTACAAACCCATCTTTGCCAAAGCAGCCACATTCTCGTTTCCCCTCCAAAAGAAACTTTCCCAAAAAGAAACAGGAAAAAAGAAGGGAAGGAGAACAGTCAGTGTTTGCCAGATGCAAGCAAAGTTGTGATGGGTGCAAAGAGGACCACAAGCAGACAGGGGATCCTGCTGCATCTTCTGGAGCTGCTACGCCGAACTGGGGTTCCTGGGATTTTAGTGGCAACAGAAACACCTCATTGTCCTGCTGCTCGTTGAAAATTAGCCATGGGCTTGTTCATACCTGCCAGTGCAATGAGAGTAACACCGATTGGGTTCAAGCATATGGGAGCGGTGGCTGGGCCAGAGCTTGGCACAACAGACAGGTGAGAGCACAGCTTGGTGGGTCCGGACATGGGGAAAGGGGCTTTGCCATGGGTACACCAATGGGTACATTTTTCTTGCATGTTTCCCGGTCAAATGATCCTCTCTGGGTGGTGTGGATGGGGTTGTGCTGTTTAGGAAAGGACCATTCTCCTGGTGGTGCATTTCTTCAGTTCCTGTGCCCTTGCTCCTGCTCTGCTTCAGAGCAAAAATTCAGCTCTAAAATTATTTTAGAGCTCCCTTGCAACAGCTTGCGATGGATGAGGAGCACTTGTATGTCGAGGAAGGCGAGAGGGGCTGAGCAGGGCAGGGAGGTAGGGATGTCGCTGAAGAACTGCTTGGGCGAAATGATTTTTTTTCCTCCAAATTTTGAAATTTCTACTAGGGAATATTGTTCAGCTATTGGGTCAGTTAAAAGTCAATTAAGGAACTATAATTACCATGGACTTTTGCCCCCCGCATCCCAGAGCATTGAGCAGCCCCAGCCCCCTGTGGCAGCCTGTGGGAGATTTGCCAGCCTCCATAAAACCTCTTCCTCAGACTCACCCGAAATCCTTTCCCTGGCTTCCTTCCCAGCTCTTGTGCCCTGGGCGCACCAGCACCCAGAGAGAGAAAAACGGGCTTAAATCATTCAGTCCATGCAGGGAGTAAAATTCAATTGCCTGAATTAGATGTACCAAAAGTTTCCCTCCCTGCCCGCAAAATCCTGAGCTTGAAGGGGTTAACACTGACAGTTTGGTTTGAACCATATTTTTTCATCTTTGCTGGTTATTTATCTGCTGGGAACTGTGTGGGATCATCTCCACCCGCCAGTGGGTTTCACCGGGGTGGCGAGGGGACCGAACCCAGCCCTGTGTGTAAGTATGGCTATCTGTGCTCCAAGTGGTACTTGGCGAAGCACCCTATGGGGAAGCACACGCAGAAAAATACAATATTCTTGGGGGTTTTTTTGCATGGGCAAGGGGATTTGAAGTTGGACAGCATCACAAAT